GGGGGTGTACCACCATCCCAGAACATAGATACCTTTAGCAATCCAGACACTCCTCCAAACCTCATTGTTCTGAGTTATTGTTGTTGTTGTTGTTCTTGTTTTAATCAAGGCTTCATTATGTAGGCATTATTGATTAAATCCATTGGCCATTGGTGATTAATTTCAATCTCCAGCCCCCTCTCCCTTCTGTGGAGGTTAAGGGTAGGGCTCAAAGTTCTAACCCTCTTATAAGTTGTTTGGTTTTTCTGGTAGCCAATCCCCATCTGGAAGCCGCCTGGGGTCCACACCCCTATGACTCATCTTACTAGCATGAAGTCAGGTATGGTTGAAAGGGGCTTGCTATGACTATCAAAAAACTTTCCTGTTTCTCAGGGAATTACGAGAGTTTTATGAGCTCTTTGCCAGGAACCTGGGACAAAGACTGAATATATAATTTATTAAATACCCATAGTCTTCTCAGCATATGTTAATAGGAAGTATGGCATGTGAAGTTAGTTTACCCCAGTGTTGTTGATGTTAATGCTGAAAACTTGGTTAGTGGTGTCCACTAGGTTTCTCCACTATAAAGTTACAGTTTTCCTATTGTAATCAATAAATATCTTATGATGAGATACTTTGATATTGTGTAAATATTCTATTCTTCATGAACCTACATTTACCAGTTTTAGTGTCCCTGATTTCCTAACTCCATCATACCTTCTGTGTTTTTTAGTTGGCATTCTCGTGTGAAGAGGAGTTTACCTTCTTGATTCATTCATTCATTCATTTACTCATTAGTAGCACTGTGGGCTCATGGATTTTTATTTTGTATAATGAGTTATGATCTGTTTTTATCTTTATTTATTCACATTCTCAAATTATATTGAATTGGCCAGGTTCCTGTGTCTTTTTGATATGTCGTTGTCACTCTGGGCTTTCTTGCTTCCTTGTGGGCTGAAAGTTCTAACTGGCTTAACAATATGTTCCATGCTCAATTTATACTTTCTCCCTTTTAGCCCTAGAATCATTCTTTTTCCCAGGAAACTCTGGTTCCTTTCATTAGAGGGAATGGTAACCAAGATAGAAGCTAAGATGTGAGCACTAGATGCATTCATTGCTTCTGGTATGTGTTTGTTGCTGCCAGTATGTCAGTAGACAGGACTAGGAATAAAATATATAAATACACATTTCTGTATTTTATTTATTTTTATATCTACTTCCTATATTAATAACAGTTTCCTATGTTAATAACAGTGAATTCTTACTGATATCTCCAATTTCAATCTAACACCTCAAGGTGCAATTTGGTTTTATTCCTTCTTTTTCTGTTGGGTTGTTCCTTCTCCAAAAATAAAGACCCAAGCTTCCTTAATCTTTGTGCATATGTTTAAGCCAAGTTCCAAGCTCTTCACTCCTTTGTGCACATTCTGTTAGCTTTCCCTTCAGGCTGCACAATTCCCATTAACATTTCTTGTAGTACAGACCTGTGGTGACAAATTCAGTTTTAGTTTATCTGAAAATGTCTTTATTTTGCCTGTATTCTTGAAGGATATTTTCACTGGATAGACAGTTCTCACTTAATGGTAGTTTTCTTTCAACATTTTAAAAAGAGTTTTCCTACATTTTTTGGTCTTCCTTTTCTCATGAGAAATCAGCTATCCTCTGTATTTTCACCTTACAGGTTTCTTGCTATGTATCATTTTCATACTATATGGGTAAGTTTAAGTTTTTCACTAACTTTGGGGAAACTTTGGTCTATGTCTTTAAGTATTTTTCCACTCAATTCTCTTTTTTCTCTTTGGCACTCCAATTATATATATGTTAGACCACTTGATGTTGTCCCAGAAAACACCCAAGGCTCTGCTAATTTTTACAAGTGTATTTTTCCCCCTCAGTCTTTCTGATTAAATATTTCCTGTTGATCTGTCTTCAGGTTCACTGACATTTTCTTCCATTGTTTCTAATGTGCTGTTAAACCATCAATGAACTTTTCATTTTAGACATTGTACTTTTTAGCTCTGGAGTTTCCATTTGGGTTTTTAAAAATAGCTGTTTTGTTTTGTTTTTTACAGTTTCCCATCTATTCATTATTACCACATTTTCCTTTAAGTCCTTAAGTACATTTATAATACTGGGTTTAAATTCCTTGTCTCTTAATTCCAACATCTGAATCATCTTGGGGTCATTCTCTTTTGACTACTTTTTCTCCTCACTGTGGGTTACAGTTTCCTGTTTTCTTCACATGTTGTGAGTTTTGATTATATGCTGGACATTGTACATGTTTTCTTGCAAGGTATTTGGATCATAATAGTCTTTTTTAAAATGGGGCTGACATTTGTTCTTCCAGGCAGTGCAATTACTTTTTGGCCTGTCAGGCTTGGTGTTATTGTTGGAGTGGATCCATTTTAGTTTGAATTCGGTCTTAGGGAATGCCCTCCAAATCTAGGGAATGTTTCTTACTCCTAAGGATTGGCTTTTCTGTGTCTCAACTGAATGCTTGAGGTGGAATAGCTGAGCTGGAACTCCAGTGTCTCAAAACCTTTCTCTAATTGGTATCACCATTCTGCTTTCAGCCTTCAATACATAATTTTTAGCTGGTTCTCTAAGAGTCTTGCTCTATACATGTCTGAAGCAAATAGTCACTGAGTCTTTTACCACTCCTTTTATCTCTTCCTCTAATCCCCCAACGTAGCTTTCTTATTAGTTATTTTTCCTTGCAAATATTAGCCACTTTAGTAGCTCCAAATTCCTTTCAATTCCATTTGGAAGCCTTGATACACTTGGGTACTGCCTGCCTTCTTGCCAGCAGGAAAATGGTCCCAGGAAGAAAGCCAGAGTGGTTGTCCTATCTATTTCCCTTTTTCATGGTCGGTGATTTAGTTGTCTTCTATATTTGGTCTAGTCTTACAGTTTTCAGTAGGGGGGCAAATCTGGTACCAATTGCTTTATTTTAGCAAGTGGACTTCCAAGGCTTATGTTTTTGTTTTTGTTTTTGTTTTTGTTTTTGTTTTACACTGTCATGTTCTCATAAATAATGAAAGGAATAATCACAGTAGTAGTACTGCTCCATTTTTTTCTTTGGTGTTTCCTGGACCTAAAGGAGTTAAAAGTTTTCTATATTGCCTTTGCACTGAGTACATTGTTAGGAAAATTCTTTGAGATGCCAGAATTCACCTAAAGTGAATTTGAAACATACATTATTCCCACTCCTTCAATGAAATGGAATCCAGGGCTGCTGTTGATTTTAAATTCCCAATATGCCCCCAAAGCTGTGAAAGCCCTATTAATTTCAGTTTGTTAAACTCTATTGCTTTGATTAGTTAAGTCCTCTTCTTTATAAATTGGTTTGTAATTCAAATATTCATTAACAAAATAATTTCTGAGGATGCATTTTTATTCATGTTTTGATTATTAGCTTGTAGAATAATCCACTATAAGTTAATAGTTGTTTTACTTCTTTAATTCATCAATACCAGTGTCCTATCTGCCTTTTTAGTATGTTAGTTTAGAACGATTTTTAAAAATTTATTCAGCCAACATTTTCTCTGTATTTTAATATAACTTTGAGCATGTTTTCAAGAAAAAAAGCAAAAATGCAGTAGTATTTATTAACAATATAAAATATTTATACTGATTTTCTGCCATTTTATAACTTTCCTTTCGAAATTGTCTTTAATGCCAAGTGTGGCTCTCCTGGGAAGATTGGCCTCATTTCTGACCCCAGTTGACAGAATCTACTGTAATCATTTACTTCATTCACAGCTTTGGCCTTGCGTGACTTTGAACTAATTAAAAAATAAATAAATGACCTTCAAAGATGAGGGTTTTCCAGTGTGGCTATTCCATATTCTCTGAAGGGAATTCCAAAAACAGAGTTTTTAGAGCAGTGTTGCTATTATTAGGTCGAGTATGTAAACTTCCCAAGGCTTTTGCTTTGAGGGGAACAACACTCCTTTAAATGTTCATGTTCTGGTATGTTTGTTTCCATTCTAATCTTATTGCATATAGTAGTATCTGTCCATTTCCTCTAGCATGTTTTCCTTCTTACCTACAGTCTTTGTTTTAAACTATAATAAGCTAAAAATGATCACATCTGATGACTATGATATCATTTGTTAATGAATTCCTTCATTTATTTAACAAATGCTTTTGAGTTCTTGTGGTTGTATTGGGAATACGGTGAGGGACCAAAAAAAAAAAAAAAAAAAGCCCCTCCTGGAATTTACCGCCTAACTCTAATCTTCCCAATCTAAAGTTCAAGGGAAAATAGCCTGTATCTTTCTTTCTTCAACCCACATTAGAACCTTTACAACTCTCAGAAGTCCTTTGTGATTATTGGATATGCGTGACATACTTTGTAAAAGGGAAAAGAAGTACAAAGATTAAGGAGTTGTTTGCAGTCTGATTGAGGCCATGCAGTTTTGTTTTTTTTTTTAATGCACATATATACATGAAAATATTTAAAATTCTTTTTTTATGCACATATATACATGAAATTATTTAAAATTCTTACGAACACCTGGGATAGAAGAACAGAATACTGAGGGAATATATAAGCAACAATTACGAGGGAAGTAAAGTCAGTGTTAGGCAGGTTGTTTTGGAGTGGTAGGTTTTACAGGAAAAATTTCAGAGCAAAGATGCTTTCCTTTGGATGGCACAGAAGAATCAGATAGTGAGATGGGAATAGGCAAATTGTATTATAGTGGTGGAGAGTTGCCACTTTTCCTGAATCTAAGGAATGCCATCTAAATTGGTTAATATTTTGAATTTCCTTTATTTCTGAACATATTTTGTCTGTATTTTTTTGTTTCTCACGAACACTAGCTGCTAAAAAAAGTAAATTTATCTTGGTCAAAGATGATTTGTTTACATGATATGATGTCTTTCCAATGATAAAATTGTCGTTCAGAGCAATAAGGTAAGTCGAAAGTTAGATTTTTCTAATCTTATAAATCGGAAAAATCAAATCAATCTTTGAACAGATCAGTCATTAAATTGAATTTCTTTTTCCTTACTAGGATCCTCGGTTCAATGCAGAAGTTGACCAAATTACAGGCTACAAGACACAGAGTATTCTTTGTATGCCAATTAAGAATCACAGGGAAGAGGTAAGCCAATTTTCCGTTTTATAAAGGTCATTTGGAAACATTCTCTTTTTTAAAAAAAAAGTTTTACTTTGCATAGTTATGAAATAATACTATAGGGACAAGTTAATTACAAAGTGCTTAAATATTCTACTTGCTTTTTTCTTTTTTTATTATTTAGATAGGGCTGAATCTTGATAGAGACTTTACGTTGACTTAGAAATACATTTCATACATTTTATTTCCTTACCCCCTCTCCTCCATCACCACCCAGGACCTTATTTTATCCTAAGATGCATAACTGTGGTTGTGGTTGGAATCTATTTCATATTATATTGGAAGTGTCTGAATAATGCTCATTTCATAAATGGTTATTCAGTTTTAATGGTTATCAGCTGATATTTGGGGCACTTCAAAATGAGGTTTTGAAAATGTGAAAATTGTGGCTAATTCCAAGTAAGTTTCACTGTGAAATTATAACAAGCAAATAAAATGCTTGGGCTTATATTTCACCTAACTAAAAGTTTGGATTCTGTTAGCACTGAATTCCTTCTTTATTAATAGTTACTTAAAAAAATAGTTAATAAATTATCAATCAAATTATATCTTTCAGTTAAATGCTCTCAACTCTGGCTGCAGTTACAATCAAATGAGGAACTTCTAAAATATTACCATTTAAATCTGAATCTAAGAGCAGGATATAGACACTGATATATTTTTAAAGCTCTCCAAATAATTCTGAAGTGTTGCCAGGTTGCAAAAATCACTACTCTAACTGAAAACAAATAGATTGAAAGCACCCGTACTCGGGGATCTCAACCTTGACTGTTCATTAGAATCACCTGGAAAGTATTTAGAAATTTTAATGCCAGGCTTCACTTTAAATCAGAGTCTCTGGATTTGGGTCTCAGGCATCAGTATTTTAAAGCTCCCAGGTGATTATAGCATGCAGCTAGGTTCCAGAACCACAGAACCACTCCTAAAGATACTAGAAACTCTTTGATGATTCTACTTGACTTATATTCACATTCTGACATCTTTCCTTTCTCTCCTCCATCCAGTCCTTTTCCAAATCCCATTGATTTTTTTCCCATTGAGAGTTTTTCTCACTTCAGTTCCTTTCCTTTCTTACCTACTGCCGTAATTCAGATATTGCAGTAATGCTTGAACTTTAAAAATATTTTCGTAAGAGGCTTCTCTACTTGCAGCCAGTTTCTCTCCAATCCAACCTGCTAGATGTCCTGGGAATTTTCCTAATACACAGCTTTCTAAACCAGTGCACCTAAAACATTAATGTGCACATGAATCCCATGGGGATTTATGAATTCCATAGCTGCAGGTGGGACCTGAGATTCTTTTCTAACAAACACTAATTTGATGCTGACACCCCAAGTCTGCAGATCACAATTTGACTAACAGGATCGTAAACTAGTCACTTCTCAGTAGTCTAAAATAAATTCTCGGTGCCTTGGAGTTGCTACATGGTTTTGTTTTTTGTTTTTTTTTAAGATTTTATTTATTTATTTGACAGAGAGAGACACAGCGAGGGAGGGAACACAAGCAGGGGTAGTAGGAGAAGGAGAAGCAGACCCCCTGTGGAGCAGGGAGCCCAATGCAGGGCTTGATCCCAGGACCCTGGGATCATGACCTGCTCCAAAGGCAGATGCTTACCTACTGAGCAACCCGGGCGTGCCGCTACATGGTTTTTTAAGAGGAAAGTTAGAGTCAAAGTCACTAAAAATACCTGCAGTTAAAACATGATTATGAGATTGATTAATTTAATTGGTTCATTAATTAGGTGGATGAATAATTAAAATAGAAAAGGCCATACATGGATTAATGATGAGTTTGCCAGATATAACAAATAAAAAGCATGACCCATGCAATATTGGGGGCATAGTTATGCTAAAAATTATATTTTGCAAAAAAAATTATTTTTTGCTCCTCTGAAATTAAATTTGACTAGCCTGCCTGTATTTTATCTGAGAGCCCCCAGTATAAAACCATAGGCTGTGATTCTGTGCACTTGAGAAGACAGCGTTCAGATTCCAGTAGTTAAGTATATGGTAACATTGTGGCCCACAAAACAGCCTTGTAGTGGCCAAGAGGCCCAGTTTGAATCATGCTCTGATTAAACGTCTCTTTCTAAATAGAAACTGGGGCCCGGGGGAACCCATGAGTATGTGCAACAAAATCACCAGGACGAAGTGCGTGGGATTCCCCTTCCGTAAGAGTGACTGCAGCACATATGTGTTTGTGTATGACGACCTGAGAGGATGATTTAAATTAAACAAGCAACAACAGCCCCAACTGTGTTGAAGTATAATTTAACACGAGAAAATTCACCCATTTTAAGTGTACGTGTGATGAGTTCTGACAGACGTGCACGCATCTGTCGTGTAACCACCGCTGTAATCAAGATACAAAACATTTCTGTCACCTCAGATGTTTCTGTGTACCCCTAGCCGTGACGGTCCTCGCCCTCCCTCAACCCGGACCTCTGACAATCACTAGTCTGTTTTTGTCTCTGTTCTTTCTGCCTTTTCTAGAATGTCATGTAAACGGAATCCTGCTGTAGGTAGTCTTGTGTCTGGGTTCTTCCCCTGTGTACATTTGTGAGATTCATCCGTGTGGTTGCATGCGTCAGTCATTTGTTCCTTCTTATTGGCAAGGGATGGATTCTCCGGTGGGAATATACCATTTTGATCATTCATTCGTCAGTTGATAGATACTTGAGTTGCTTCAAGTTTTAGGAAACAAGCCCCTGTTCTGAAAGAAGCCACTGTCAGAGTTTGCATACAGGTCTTTGTGTGGACATAATGCTTCCATTTCTTTTGGGTAAATAGACAGGAGGTGAATTGCTAGGTCATTATAGTTGGTGTTTAATTTTATGAGAAGCTTCAAAGACTTTCCCAAAGTGGCTGCACCATATGCATTCTTACCAGTAATATATGAGTTTCAGTTGCTTCAAGTCCTTGGCAACATGTGGTGTTACCAGTTTTTAAAACTTTTAGCTGTTTTAGTAGGGATGATTTGAATTTGTTGTTTTGTTTTGTTTTATTTGAGACAGAACATGAGCAGGAGTGAGGGGCAGAGGGATAGGGAAAAGTAGGCTCCCCCACTAAGCAGGGAGCCAGACTCGGGGCTTGATCCAGAACCCTGGGATCCTGACCTGAGATGAAGGCAAATGCTTAACTGACTGAACCACCCAGGAACTCCTAGGGTGATTCGTATTTGATCACATGAATATATAACCCCACTCTCAGCCAATGGCTGTCAGCTCACTTCTAGATCTGATGACAATGGGTCCAGCTGTAGGCCCCAGATTGTGATTGTCCAGCACTCCCCCTAAGATTCCAGCTGGGTTCCTGAGAATCCTTGGGAGGCCTGCCTCCATGTTCCTGCATCCTCCTGCTATCTCCTCTTCACCCTCTAATGACCAGATAGGAAACTAGGGCTCTTCACTGGTCTCCCCACAAATTCACTCACACCAAGCATTTCATGGGACAAAGAAGCCTTCAGTAACTTCACTGGAGACTTAGTCACATCACTGACTGGAGGCCTTGCTGACTCCCCATTTTCAGCCTTCTCCCACCTGCTCCCTCCCCTGCCCCCAACACTGGCACTACTCAGTTCATGATTATGTCCTCTGAGTATTTTCTTCAGAGAAAAGGAATGAAGAGAAACAGAAGAATAGACATACTCTGCTGTCGTTAAAAAGAAAAGAAAAGAAAAAAGTTATTTGGCTAACGAAGAACAAAGGCAACTAAGAAGTTGCAATATATGACTTCCAGAATTATTTTAAGATTTATAGCTATGTAGACAAACCCAAGGCAGTGTTTACTTTTGTAAGTATAGAGTACATACAGAAGTACTCTTTTTTCTCACAAAACTTTTGAAATTGAAATGAAGAGGCATCAGTAAGGCTTTTTGGGAACAGTTGCTAAGACTGCTCTGGGCTTGAATCCCATCTTCACCACTTACTTGATAAGTAGCCAGGATGGAATTGGTTAATCCCTTCCATTTTCAGTTTTCTCATCTGCAAACTGGGTGTTATGAAAGGGCCTACCTTGTTGTGAAGGACAGATGCATTCCTGTACGGTGAGGGGTTTACCATAGTTCCTGGCATACTAAAAGTCATCAATAAATGCTTTTTTTGTTGTTGTTTTACTTTTTATTTTTTTATTTTTTTCAGTGTTCCAAGATTCATTGTTTATGCATCACACCCAGTGCTCCATGTAATACGTGCCCTCCTTAATACCCACCACGAGGCCCACCTCCTCCCCTCCAAAACCCTCAGTTTGTTTCTCAAAGTCTACAGTCTCTCATGCTTCGTCTCCCCCTCCGATTTACCCCAATTCACTTTTTCTTTCCTTCTCCTAATGTCCTCCATGTTATTCCTTATGCTCCACAAATAAGTAAAACCATATGATAATTGACTTTCTCTGCTTGACTTATTTCACTCAGCATAATGTCCTCTAGTTCCGTCCATGTTGATAAAAAAGTTGGGTATTTATCCTTTCTGATGGCTGCATAATATTCCATTGTATATATGGACCAGACGTTCTTTATCCATTCATCTGTTGAAGGGCTTGGCTCTTTCTGCAGTTTGGCAATTGTGGACTTTGCTGCTATGAACACTGGGGTACATATGACCCTTCTTTTCACTACACCTGTATCTTTGGGTAAATACCCAGTAGTGCAATTACAGGGTCATAGGGTAGCTCTATTTTTAATTTCTTAAGGAATCTCCACACTGTTTTCCAAAGTGGCTGCACCAACTTGCATTCCCACCAACGGTCTACGAGGGTTCCCCTATCCCCACATCCTCTCCAACACTTGTTGTTTCCTGACTTGTTAATTTTGGCCATTCTAACTGGTGTAAGGTGGTACCTCAATATGGTTTTGATCTGAATTTCCCTGGTGGCTAATGATGATGAACATTTTTTCATGTGTCTGTTAGCCATTTGTATGTCTTCACTGGAGAAGTGTCTGTTCATGTCTTCTGCCCATTTTTTGACATG